AGACACTATGACACTGAATTCATTCTCCACATATATATAAATGATATTTCAAACAAACTGGATCACTGAATGTTCTGTTTCATGCACGTTGAACACTCCCTTCTCAAGACTTATTACTGTCATTATTCTCATCAAAATAAGGTCAGGTAAAATTAATCTTTAGATTCTCATCCCCGCCCGCCCCTCTCAAAGTGCCCCGCCCCGTTGTTTTTTATTTTACCTTTTAGGTGCCAAACATCTTATTTTCATGTATTTTTATTTAGCAAGAATCTGGGTCAAAATTTAAGAGTTATCTCCCGTCTGTATTAAAAGTCTCCTGGCGCTATTTATAGCAAAACACCCATGTGAAGAATGGAGAAAAATCGGCAATAAAAGCAGTTTAAATATGTAAGGAAAAGATAATTTGTCAGTAAAGAGAGGGCAGAAAAGAAAAATAACATATAAACACATCTAGATACCATCACTGGCATGGGCAAGTTTTTAAAGAGATTTTAACCAAGTAAAAACAGACGAAGAAAATACACATGGTCAAGTTTTAAATAACGATCTCCAGTTGTATGTGATTTTGCATTAAAAAAAAATAAAACATCGTCCAAAGACTTTAGAGAATAATAGTACTAAGTGTTAAATCTTAAAACTGTTCAGGCATAGGCTTTTCAGTAGAATATTTTACAGATATTTACACAATCCTTTTTTGCAAATATGATATATTTTAGTGTCGAACATGTCAAGTCTCAAGAACGATTGAATGTATGAGGACAGTGGAAATCTGTGATATCTGTATATCACACAGAACAGAAGGAGTTGTTGGTAAAACTATAAGGTATATGGGGAAAGGCCGATGAGAAAACATGCATATGCAATTTATTAGGATCAACACCTTATTTTGTTTGGCGTTTGCCGTATCCAGGTATCTGTGTACTTGATAATTTGTTAATAAAACTATAAATATTTTAATTTTCTATAACAAGAATCTTCTGTAGATATTTCAAAGAATATGGAAACAATAAATAAATCTATTCATATTGGCATTAACATAATGTAAAAATTACGTGTACGAATGTTTTGTTGATACTTTAAATTATAAAAAATAAAAAATAAAATCCGCCCACCCGCCCCACTTTTTTAGCAAATTAGGATGAGAATCTAAATTTTAAATTTATGTGGCCTAAGGCATGTTTTTAACATATGAATCTACACTTAAAGAAGAGTTTACTTAAGTTTTGATATTCCTAAACCAGCTAATGTTCTTAAGAACAAGCTTTTAAATCACTCCATCCTATTTGTACTTATAAATATCAAATTTAAAGATATAACCCTTGAACACACATGAATTTCCTGGTGATGGGTTTTACCTATTTTTAATTTGCCAAGTGGGTCTCAATGCTATTATCCAGAATTATACCAAAAGGTATCAGACACCAGACAATAAATGGACTTGCACAGCTCATCTGAGCCTTTAGCTAAAGTATAGCTAAACACCCCAGTCTGACATATGGAACAAGACCATACAATTTCTACACCCAGAGCAGTCTTCAATTCAGCTAAAGTATAGCTATAAGCCCTAGCTTCATATATCACACTTACAATAGCCTTCAATTCAGCTTTAATGTAGCTATAAACCCCAGCCTCATATTATACAGTTATGGAATGGGTATGAGGGAAATAGCAAATTTATGGTTCCCCGAGGGAGGAAACTATTTCCCGAGGCGGCGAAGCCGCCGAGGGAAATAGTTTCTTGCCGAGGGGAACCATAAATTTGATATTTCCCGAGTACCCATTCCATAACTGTTTTATTATACTAAAACAAACAAAGGAGATTTATTAACTATATAGAGACTTAGACATTTTTAAAACAATATAGAGGCATTTATATAAATAATCAAAAATGCGCGTGATTCGAATTTTGTTCAATACATAATGCATCAATACGGAAAAAATAAAATTGTATAAAAAAACAATAATTTCACTGACAATTCGAAGGATTATTGTTGTCCTCTTTTTGCTTAGAAATTCCAGTATGATTTTGACATCGCATGTCGAAATGTTTTGACGTCATAGTTACATTGCTAATAACATGACGTCACGGACTCGAGATTCCTTGAACGCTCCGCCCACTGTTCATTTTAATTGGTTATAATTACTAATAAATATTCATGAGGGAGTAGTCCCAGGGAGTAGCTCTGATTTTTCAGGGAGTAGTCCTCAGATGGGGGAAATAGTATCTTCTCGGGGAAATAGACAGTTTTATGGTATTAATTTTATATAGAGTAATAACAGTAGAGGTATAATAAATCAAACAATAGCCTTCAACTCAACTAAAGTATAGCTTATAAACCCCAGCCTCAAACAGTAGCCTTCAATTCAGCTAAAGTTTAGCTATAAACCCCAGCCTGATAATCAGATACATGTATATCAAACAGCAGCCTTCAACTCAGCTAAAGTTTAGCTATAAACCCCAGCCTGATATATCAAACAATAGCCTTCAATTCAGCTTTATAGCTATAAACCCCAGTCTGATATACCTAACAAGACCACACATTTTCTACACCCACAGCAGCCTACACTGATATCAGTTATGTTAGATTTCCAGATTCTATGAAATCCAGCATTCCTTATCCCAGACTGTCAGAGAGACATTGGAGGAATGCCACACTGACCTATTTTTACATCTCTCTGTTAAAAATGTGGTGTGTTATGCTCAGTAATTGGCACTTTATCTAATTTCTTTGGAGCTATATCTGTATATATAGGTGTTGTTGTTCTTCTCTGACTTAATCTTTTTTCTTTTCTCAAGAATTATAGTGTTAAAATATTCTGTCATTTAATTTCTTTGAATAAATCTTCATATTGTAATCTGTAATCTCAGATTTACTGAAGAAAAACTTGTGAACTAGCTTCCTTTATAAACATGATAAACTACACATAAGAGAATAACATCCTCTAGATTTGTAGCATCTTTCTGTTTGTGACATTTTTTGCCTTCAGCAATTAATGAAGACATCTTGAATGTGAAGCACCTCATCTGGACAGTTAATTAAGAATCATGTACATATCAGTGCTACACAAACAAACAAAATATCTCCTGACATCTACATTATCTCCAACAAACAAAACATTCCTCACACCACTATAACAATAATTCTGATATACCTCAACTGCCAAGTTCACAACAATAACAGTTTTTTTTTTTTTTTTGTTTTTTTGTTTGTTTTTTTTTTTTGTTAGTATATCCATTAAAATAATATACATGTATTAATCTTTATCCAGGTGGAAATTTCAAATTTCCATGGAGACGTGCAATAGTGTGATGTTTTATAATTATAAATGCATCAATGTGATCATCAGAATATATTTACATCCTCCACCCCCTACCCCCACTCAGAAAATGTTAAAATAATAAACAACAAATCACTTATACAAGGAAGATAATCTGATACGACAAAAACTGAAAGAAATAGCTTTACTTTGAAAGTCACAATTATTTGTGTCTTAAGAGGAAATCACCTTCCTCTCTTATGAAATCACAGCTATCATCTTCATTTTAAATTATAGGACTCTCTCATTTTTATTAGGCATTAATAACTGCTTTATTCATGATGAAATAGGTGTATGTATGGTTTTAACCGAAGTATTCTGAATTGCAAACATGTTGACCTAACTCTTAATTTCCACAACTTGACAAGCAGTTTAGATAATTTATGAATAACCAGAACTCTTGATGACACCGTAGCTGGTTTGTACTTTTACATGCGAAAGAGATGATAGCTGTTCCTAGATTTTTTTTTAAGCTTTACATTTATAGACCTACAAGTTTGTGTTTCTACAACTAGAACCTCGTTTTATCAAAATCAAAACAAAACTGTACTACAGGAGGGGCAGATTTTTGCAATAATTTTACAGCTTATTCTATTTTTTGTTACCCTGGCAACAATTAAAGTACATCAAAATTCAATAATCGAGTGAGTTTGTCAGATTGAATAAGTTTGTCTGTGTAACTTTATCAAAATTAAACAAAACCTTTAGACGAGTAACATTTAAAAGAATTTGAAATTCCTTTTTCAGTAAACTAAGTAATATCTTTGACCATTGAAATAAATAAAAAACAAGAAGTCTGTGAGCCATTGCTCACTAGTAATACCCCCACTCTGATGTGAATATAGGCTCTCATGAATCCTACCATATGGCATGTCTAAAGAGTGTGCTAAAATTTCGAGCATCTGCCTTAAGTAGTTGTTGAGAAAACTGTGATGGAAATTTGGTACGGACAGATTCAAAGATAAAAGGAAGTTGACATCAGATTTGTACAAAAATGAATACCACCATATGGCAGACAGACAGACACACAAGGGTAAAACAGTATACCCCCTATCCTTCAGAGTGGGGATATGAAAACCATAAAGAACCATAAACTTGGTGTACTATACTTATGTACCTAATTTGATAAAATCATTAACCTTAGGGTACAGTACTCTACTAATGTACCAAAGTTTTCTTAAATCTGAGCAAATCTCAGGAGGAGTGGTGTTTAGTAAGAAATTTACAGACATTTCTAAGTTTAGTAATCATGAGAACACTGTTCATCAAAAGCAAAACCAACACAAAGAATAATGTGTCTTAATTAGTGTATCCTACTTGCATGTACCAAATTTTATTGAAACTGATCAAAGATCAGAAGCATTATTTATATTAAATTTTTAAACAGACAGACAGATTGATGATGGATACCATACAAATGTACAGCTATTCTGGTCTATATCCTAAGGAGCTAATAACCTCAGAGGTGTCCTAATAGTCACCCCATGTACTGGACTGGCCCATCTAAACTTCACAGAAAACCTTCAGAATTACAGATTATCACAATCTGACAACAATAGCCCATTGTCTGAAGGCTTCAAGGAAGTTGAATGCCCTTATTGAATTATCCACTGCAGATTTAAAGGTCATTTCAAGTTAAAGCTTCTCTATATCAGAAATATACTGTTAGATGTCCAACTCACCTTTGAATATGGGAGAGGCCCTCCATACCATCACCACACCGGCGCTGGCGTACTGCCCCAGAGAGAGTTCCATAAACACCAGGGGAATTCCCGTAATGAACAACATGATCAGGAAAGGTATCAAGAAAGCCCCTGACAAAATTTATCTGATAGTCAGTTTATTTTTTGCTGTCTCTAAAAATATTTATTCATTTTCATATTCAATATATGTATAATATAATATGTACATCTAAAAGTCATTTCTCCTATATTAAATGCATTGTCACTTAATAAATATCTTTGTATGATGGTAAATGACAAAACTCTTCGCAGTTTAATTCTTCCTGATCATTACATCATTTCCCCTATATATTTCTACAGGCCTGTAAGGTCAATGGTTGTATAAGGAATAAAGGACTATAAATAAATCTCTCAGGACTGGTTTAATTGTCCCAAAGCATGCTTACATAATCTTAAAACAACTTTGATATTTTACAAATTATGTTAAACTGAATACCCCCTAATTATACAATCTCAGTGTACTACTAACAGCACATAGCATATCTGTTCTGATCAATAATAAATCACACGATACAGTAATACTAACTTTACGGCTGACACTGCCTATAGCATATTTTTTAATGCAACTTAAAAATCAAAAAGCAAAATAAAAAGGGCTTTTTAGGTATTAATTTATCAAAAGTTTAAGAGAATTGTTATTCATGTACATTTATACATTAGTCTGCTTAAACAATGCTCAGTATGGCATGCCAGAGTGATATATGCCATCAATGTTTTCTTAGATTTTTAAGGTACACTGCGATGGAACCCGCTATAGTTGCTGCATATGAATACATCCTTAATTTTCAAAACATTACCAACCTGCACCATTGCGGTAGCAAACATAAGGAAATCTCCATACATTTCCCAATCCAACGGCATACGAGAGGCAGGATAGGACAAAGTCCAGTTTATTTGACCAGTTCCCCCTTTCAGCATTTTCCTCCTCACCGCTAGAGTCTGACCCGTTGGTCATGACGCTGGATTTGTCTAACTTGCCGTTTGACATTCTGGGCTAGAATTCTTGACAGCTGAAAGATAAGGCCTTCAATTATAACCTCACCCATGCTTTAATTTGCATAATTATTATGGCTTAAATTTTTTTATGCCAACAAATGTTATATTCTGCAGAACAAAAAAAATGAAAATATTGAAAACAGAATCCCTGTTTTCAATAAAATAAAGCACACAATCCCTGTTCTTACTGTACTCAAAGGCTTTTTTTCAGTTCATGCAAATGGACATTTATGTATATCTTCAACCCCATTCAAAGACGTTCTTGGTAAATACAGTGGAATGAATTCTGTTTATGTGAGGGGTAAAAATAATTTTAGGTTAAATTGTCCCCCACATTTCACCTGCAGTCCAAAATATTGACTAAAATGTAATAATAACAAAACATTGCTATACATGACATGTTTGACTAATGTATTGTTTGTGTACCACGTCAGATTTTTCATTTCTTTGTTGTTAATCAGAGGTTAGAACAAATTTTATAGAATTACATGTAATTATCTCAGTTAATTTACAATTGTACCAGCTTTGATTAAAATGTAAAAAAAAAAAAAAAATTATTAAAAATGATAAACGTTCTTGCCATGACTTTATATTCATTGTTGGATTTATGGAGTTAAGCATCCTAGCAAGATTTTTTTTTCATTCATATCATGAGGTCACTACAAGTGATAAAAATTGTTCAAAATTCAGAATTTTAAATGCCATTGCCATGGACTCCAGAGCAGTGAAAGTTTGATCATTCAGCCAAAGATGTCAACATTTTGTAACGACTGTGTCAGATATTTGGATCATTCAAGATCTTGTCATCTTCCATTCAAATTCTTGATATATGCCTTAATGGTCCAGTTGACTTGATGTATTGCCTTTTACCTGCAAGGTCCCATCTATAATACAGGGTTGACCCTAAGAATTGAAATAGAAGGGGACATTTAAAAAGTAGAAGGGGGGTATAGGGTTTCTCCCCTATTGGGGAGTTTAGGGGAAATACCAATAACTGGGGAATTATGTCATTATAGGTGGGAAATTCCTCAGCTCCCAGGTCTTAGGGAAACCCTGAATTTTACAAGCCCTTGCAAGGAACTACCTATTTTAAAGTCTAAGAATCATATGACCAGCTGGTAAAGAATGACTATTTATAAGAGGCATTTTAAAAAATGACATATAGGAAAATGCATCTTGAAGTACTTCAAATTAGTGCCATGTTTCATTCACATTCAAATAAACATATTGTGGACAAAAACATTGAAAATCATATAAAACTGGTAATCTTTTTTTTTTAATAAATGCACAAATGTTCATTGGGGGAAAATGATACAAAGGAAAGTATCTTTAGATTGCTTAGACAAAACAACTGTAGAAGTAGTCAATTTAGAAATAATTAAAGATCCTTCATCAAGTTAACTCAATAGTTAAACACCATTCATTGAAAGAAAACATGAATCAACAATAAGACATGGTCCTACTGTGATGTTTCACTGTTTTTTGTCTGGAAGCATTATCGCTTACTTTTTTTTATACAAAAAGTAAATAAAGGAATCCCATTTATTGCAGAATATGCAGCAAGATTGATTGAGAATCACCTAGTATGAAGATTCTGATATGGAAATTCAAAGTGAGAAGACACATTTTTGGGAAAGAATAAGACAAAGTTCTAGATATCCTTTGCACCAGCAGGCATGCTTATGAAAATTTCCTGAGAATTGTCTTAAGATATCTTATTATATTTCACAGGACATATCTTAGGACTATCCTAAGTTACAGCGGGTTTAAAATGAAAGCACCTTGAGAGTAACTTAAGATGTTGTAAATTCCAATCTAAGCATTTTTTTTGGTAAAACAAATAGTACATGTTGTTCTTATTCATATATTTCCATATACCATCATATGCATGCACGGATGCAGGGAGGGGGATAATTCAATAGGTCCAGTCCCCCTAAGATTTTTAGAGTTATTAAAAGTATAAGTTCACTAATCCCCAAGAAAACATTAACCGCTAATAAAAATTACAAGAAAGTCATATACCGGTACATGTATGTGTTCTATACATTGTAAAAGCAAGCAAATTACAACCCCCTCCCTGCACATACACACAAAATAGGTTTATCAGGTGAAATATGAAATCCCTAGCACCAACTATTCAACAGTTATGACCAAGTTAAAGTTTTTCAAAAGTAGGTCAAACTCCAAGGTCAAGGTCAAAGGGTCAAAGTTGTTGGTATCGAAAAGAAAGTCTTGTCACAAGGAATACGTATGTGAAATATGAAATCCTTAGCACCAACTGTTCAAATGTTATGGCCAAGGTTAAAGTTGGGTAAAATTTTGCAAAACTGGATCAAACTCCAAGGTCAAGGTCAAAAATGATGGTCTTCTCACAAGGAATACACATGTGAAATATGAAAGTCATAGCTCCAACCAATCAAAAGATATGGGCAAGGTTAAAGTTTTTGCAGACAGACAGAGAGATGGACAGGGCAAAAATCTTCGATTATGGGGGCATAATGTTTTACAAAAATTATTGTATTAAATTGTACATTCAATAATTCCTACTTATTTTCCTCACACTATTGCTTTTTAAATCACCTAAGGTATATGTTTTAGGGTTAGTTCGTTGTTGTCTTGAATAGGATGTCTTCTGTTTGCCTCACTTAAGACTAAGATGTGTCATAAGTTCGTTTTAAGGAGGAATGCCACACCAAAATTTTATTTAAAAGGTCTTTAAGAATTCCCTTTTAAACTATGGTTTCAGCAATGGAAGACCGATAGTAGCTTTTAATTATTTTATACGATTTTTTTTGCATTTTTTCAGAGAAAGTGAAAAAAATGTTTTATTTGCAGAAAATATGCTTTATGTTTTAAAATTTGCTACTAATAAATGCATAATATGAATGTTTAATAAAATACGTTAATAAAAGCTGGATAGACATTTTAATTTTTTAAATAAAAAATAATTTATGAAAATAAAACACATCATTTGTGAATATTTTTTAAATCTATGGTTAAAATCTTAATAAAACTAGTCACAACTAGGGAGAATATGTTAGTCAATCATATTTTAAAAAGAAATTGAAATGAAATTGAGAAATTGTAGAGAAAATAATTATTTTAATATTTTGACCAATCCCGATCAAAATTAACACAAAATAAATAAAATAATAATTCACTTCCTTCTTTTTGTATTTACCACTGAGAAATCTATTTGATTATCAAGTTCAATTACTTTCTAACCTGTATTACACCTAAACAAACTAGTATTCTTGTAAAAATGCTATCTATTTCCAATTATTACATAATTCTGGTTGGGATCAGTTTAATTTTGATCGGGATTGGCCAAAATTAAAAAAATTATTTTCTCTAAAATTTCGCAATTTTATTTCAATTTCTTGTTAAAATATGATTGCCTAAGATATTCTCCCTAGTTGTGACTAGTATTATGAAGATTTTAACCATAGATTTAAAAAATATTCACAAATGATGTATTTTATTTTCATAAATTATTTTTTATTTAAAAAACTAAAATGTCTATCCAGCCTTTATTATCATATTTTATTAGACATTCATATCATGCATTTATTAACAGGAATTTTCAGTGGCGGATCCAGAAGTCCACGTGGGGGGGTTTTGAGGCCCGTAGGGCCGAAGGGGGAGGGCATGGGAGGGGGTGTCCCATTTTTCTTTAAAAATGGCTCCAAATGGTGCATTTTCCAGCATTTTAGATTGAATTAGTTAGTTTTTGGCCACTTTTTTCCTAGTTGTTTTTCAAGACCGACCTACCCAAATTTTCAAGAAATTGAACATGTTGAACAAAAAATTAAAATTTTGGGATTATTTTTAACTTCCATGTTAACTTGAAAAATACTTTTCTAAAGAAAAAGTTAAATGTAAAATCTGATAAAATTAGAAATATCGCCATTTGCTATATAATATCCAATTCTTCATTTTAAAATGCACGTCCAACACACTGTCGCATGTGAAGCTTTGTCTACCAAAATACAACTGCATGATGTGCAATTTTCCAACACTTAGAACATTCGAATTCTGTGAAGAGACCCTAATTACTCTTTTCAACAACTTGACTATACAGTTCATATAATTTGCAATATATATACATAATGATATTTCATATTGAAGAATAAATATAAATTATTTTGGAAAATAATTGGAATTATTGCTTATTCATTGGGGGGGGGGGGTTAATTATAATTTCTAACATAAATGCACTCTTTAATTCTATTTTTTTTTTTTTTACCCACTTACCTGCCCAATGTTTGAAAAAAAAAAAAGTCTTGAAAAACAATCAATAAAAAAGTGGCCAATTCTTGTTTTGACAGGACCTCTAATTTATACGTATTAGTTTTACCACAATTCATTATACAAAGTTGTAACCGTAAGTTGGGTTTTATTCAACATCATTCAACTGTAATTTAAAAAAAAATGCAGATCTTTTGCTTTTTTAAAATTGCATTGTAACTTCCATCTACAAAAGGAATACTTTCAATGTGCTTTTTGGTACAGGTCACAACGTATTTCAACTAGTATACGTCCCTGATGTATTAATTTTTTTTCTATTAAATAATAATCACAGTTTATTCACGTAGTTCAATAAAGTAACATTCAATTATCGAAGAAAGAAGAAAATTCTCGAAACAATATTACTTTAGCCAAAACAAAACCGTAATAACAATGTGCAGTATACACTTATTTCATGACTACGAGGGGAACAGTCAAACTGTTGTCCCGAGGTAATGGGGAAGACCTGGGAAACTGTTGCCCGAGGCCGAAGGCCGAGGGCAACAGTTTCCCAGGTCTTCCCCATTATCGAGGGACAACAGTTTGACTGTTTCCCGAGTTGTCATGAAATAAGTGTTTTATTACCTAACCTACTATATAATTTCTTAAAGTAATGATATCGACATAATAATCAATGACTTTTAAAATACATTGACAAAAGTTTGTATTATTTTTTAAAACCAAACTAAACAAGTTGAATATTAATCAAATATTCACACCGATTGGTGTAAAATCAGAAAAATTAATGGGTGTGATATTATCATGCACTAATAAATGAAAAAAAAAAAAAAACATGTAGTAAACAACATAATGATGTCTTAAAAATTTGAATATTGCACGTTTATGGCAAAGATCTATACTGAAAGAAAGGGGCCTACATTTTTCCCAAACTACCCTCAGAAAAGGTGTTCATGGCCTCTTCTTTGAAATGATATTAAATTGAATATATATTTAAATTGGTATCAGAATTACTTTTCAGATGATAATTTCAAATTGAATAAAAATGCTTCAATTTATATATAATTCAATATTATAGCTGTAAAGTACGGGAAATTAACTATGACGTCATAATGGAACAGTTCACCCATGCAACAGTTCATTCTGTGACCGGGTAAACAGTTTTGACTGTTTCATGATTTGCAAAAACATTAAAAAGAATCAGGAAACAGTTCAAAATGCCTAATTACAATTTATATAGTAGGTTAGGTAATAATTTTGGTTGTTAGTGTATGACGTTGCGTCATCACTAGCTGCACGGACTATCATGATCTCTGCATGTACAGTACTGTTGATTACCTGTATATTGTGTGCGCTCAAGCGGAAAGGGATTTCGCATGGTGACTGTATATTTCACCTCTTTGTGTAAAACAATGGGCTTGGATAGAGTTGCATTTATGCAATATATTGTTAAAATGACACTTGTAAAAAAAAATTTTTTTGATCGGGCGGGGGGGTTTTCCCGAACCCCCCCAAACCCCCCTGAATCCGCCACTGATTTTTTAACCCTAAAGCATCTTATTAGCAAATAAAACATTTTTTTCATTTTGTATGAAAAATAGGAAAAAAAATTCTTATTAAATAATTGAGAGCTAACATTGACCTTTTAATGCTGAAACCACTACTTATCAGGGATGTCTTAAAGGTCTATAAAATAAATTTTTGGTGTGGCATTCCTCCTTAAGATATGACTTAGTCCTTAATAGCTCTTTATAAGCATGCCTCCTGGTGAGCTGGAATTATAGATCTGAGGCCATTCATTGAATCAATATTTCTGCATCATGCTTATGTACCTTAAAATGAATACTTTGGATTCAGTCATTTATCTAAAACAGAGATCATTTGCAAACAGTGATACACGATACTTTTCTCTTCCTGACATATCATACAGCATACACCGTGTTTTACGATATGCCCTCCTACATAATTAACAAAAGGCAATACACGCGGTCAATCATTCGCTTATTAAGTTACAAAAGAAACATGCATATTTTTAAATAATTAAAAGCAAAACGCTTTCCATATCTAATAAACTTAAAGAAAGATCTAATCAAACATAAAATGTTCTCACAATTTTTTTTTTATTAAGTCTGATTTTTTTCCTGCTGTACCATGTGTATACAGCGTTTTTTGTTGTGTTTACAGTAAATATTGATTTCCCCAAGCAAACTGTGAATTAATAAATAAATATTGTCATCAACAAGTGTGAAAAATTTGACTTCTCTTTAAATTGAATTTAATATAAATGGAAAAAACTATAAAACATGACATGATTTACCAGTCAACTTACTTTCGCCGTTTCCCGTTAGATGATGCAAACGTGCCAGGCTAATTTTAGGATCGTTTTCGACGAAACGAAAATGTTGCAGTGACTGACGTTATTAAAAAAAAATGACCTTACACTACATAAGCCGTGTTGCGTTAATTCAAGTACAGAGTAAGAAAAAATATATCCTGTAGATATGCCGATTTGCTTGAGTGATTACTTTATTCTGAAACATTCCCAAATACAGGAGAGATAGGGTGAAACATTTCCTTCCAGTGTTCCATCAAACAATCATTCTGAAAGACTGAACTTTTAATGATTAACGATGTCCAATATCTTTATACAATACTACATCAGTGGTCGCTGTATTTTTTTAATTTAATTTTTTAATTTGTAATATGATGTTTATTTGCACTAATGACTTATATTGTGATGGTTGCATGTACATATCTGAATCTACCTTTTTGAGTTTAAATCGTATTTTGCATTAACTTGAACCAATAAAGATGTCTATGTTTAATTGAACTCTGATTTTTTTTATTTTGATCATGCCAAAAGAATCGTTTTAAAAAATATCACGTCGTGGTTACGCTGTTATTGATCTGCGTCACAGGTAATTCATGCTTGCACGTTTTTAAAAGCCATGTAGAGCATGAAATCAATAGAATGGAATTTTAGAAGTAGGAGGTTCAAACACAGGCAAGTATCCCCCCCCCCCCCTTTACACGCACACAAACATTACTTGTGTATTCTATCATATAATGGCGAAATACGCTTGTTTGACGATGGGAAAGATACATGTATCTGAGTTCCATAAATTCACTGTAATACTATATGTAAATAAGAATACGACAAATTGTCTTTCTCTTCAGAGGTGGAACCATTCTGCTTTAGAAATGGTATATATACATATACAGTCATAAGCATAAAAATTAACAAGTTACTAATAAGAAAAAAAAATCTAAAAATTTCTATTTGTATTTGTACTCATGCAATTAATTTAGAAATAAAACATGGTACGAAAATAAAAAAAAACAAATGTTCAGCAATCCATTCACATACAAGAAACCAGTAGCACAACCATCGGACAAAGTGGATCGAGCATGTTGTGCAAAACTGAAAAGAAATTAGCCTTTTATAATTTTTAAAAAAGGATAAGGAAACCCAATCGAAACTTCTCGGGCCTTTCTGACAAGCGGAAAAAAGTTGTTCTTCCGACCTCTGTCGGAAAAATCCGAGATGATGCGATTGAAGGAAACCCTGACCTTGCCTCTCCCTTAGAAATTTTAATTTTTTTTTCAATTGAAAACCTGAAAACAAATTTTCTATTCATGAAACAAGTATAGGACAATGAAAGTCAAGAGCTACATTTATTTCATCAGGTAGAGGGGCGGGGAAACATGCCGCTTATTTATATCAAATCCATTGAAGGGGGAGGGGATACAAAAACGTGCCCGTCCCCAATTTAAAGCAGTGAGGACACGGAGTCGATCCAACAACCTTCCTTCGCCTTCGACCTCAGGGCTGTGGTTAATGATAGGCCTTCTATTCGGACTCAAAAATCCCGTTTTCGTTTATCAGTTTTTTAGTTAAACTGACTTGTTCAACAACATGCCAATATCATTATGTATGGAGAAAAATTATATATACATGTATAATTTTATTTATATATATATATACATTTTTTATTTGCACTCACAGCAAGTGAGAGAATTTTTTTAAAGGCTTATGGTATTTACACGTGTTACCGGGCATTCAAGTAAAAAGTATTGATTAAGTTGTAAGTGCACTCTTCCAAATAAGGACTGTAGCTTCCTAATATGGTGAAATCCAAGGTCCAAATATGGGACAAATATGTATCAACGGCGCATGCGTTAACATGGGATATAACGCGCGCATTACTTACGTGGCAAAGTCAAGGTAATGTTGCAGCCTAATGTTTCATCATGCACTTCCATAAAAAGTATCCATCACACCAGGAACTTATTACTTTAAATAATAACTTCACTGAATTTTCATATATTCATAGTTATATAAAAAAAAATCAAATATATTATTTTTAAGGTATCGATTCTATTAGTTCGACAACTCACAAATGCTCTAGCACTCGTGGAAATCTTGACTACTAAGTTATACCATTTTAATTTTGTATTTTCTTTCCTTCCTGCTGATTTACAAAAATTCACTATCTCTGCGCACTACTATAATGAATTCACTCTAAAAGTCAGTAAAAGGATTTATACCTTTCAAGCTGTTTTAAACCCCATTTCCGTTTTTGGTTTATTTCTGAATGTTTTAATTGATAACGCAGATGACAGTATTTAACTGCATGTCTGCCCAAGATGAGAACACGAAAGATTAATAACCCCATAATATAAAGTATTCTTCAGTTAAAAAATCCCTTTCGCACTAGATAAACGTGTGCAGAATACGTACACTAAGTAACAGTTCATTAATATAACCTTTTAACACATTTATTTTGTTTCTATTCAGAAAAATTAGTTACACGTTATTGAACATATGAAATGATTAGCAATTCTAGAATATCGATAAGCATTAAAACGTTTATAACATTTACCCTACCTAATATGGTTTGTACCTTCCTAATATGGCGAAAACCAAGGTCCAAATATGGAAGACCCAACGATGCACACTCCCTAATATGGGATTTATTGAACTGCGCATGACTTCACGTGGCAAACTCGGGGAATTGCATCATGCTTGATATTTAATGCATTTCCTTTTCGTGATACCCTTTAATTCAAGGTTTTCTCTATAAATGAAGAGTAAAAAAATTTTTGCCAGGTCTTGTGTGTGTCTATGGGTATGTGATATTCACGAGACTGTTTTAAAACGTGACCTTGGAAATAAGTCAATTATACAGATGTGATTTTCTCCTCACATGAGTTCAAATCTAAACAGCAACGTCTCAAACACATAAACATACAGTGTATGTACAAATTGTACATCCCTTTAAATAAAATATTAGTATTGATAGTCAAGATGGATTCCCAATTTTTAATAGGAACCTGTTATGTAGACTTGGTTTAAAGTAGTCTTACTCTATATGGGTTCTTTAATTACTAACAAAATTCCTTGCACGTAATTCATTACTCCGTCTGAAATAAAAATGACAGTTGTTTTGCAATCTTAGCAAGAAAATTTAATTAAGAACAAAGGGACAGTTAAGTTGATTTTAATTAATTAGCACTTTTTAAGTAAAACAATATTACATAATAATGGACAAATGAACCGTCTCTGATGAATTAATGTGCACTAAATTCATGTACCTTTAGCCAAAAAATCTTCTTCTTTTTTTCTATATTTGCTATTACTTATAATACATGAGGGGGTCTTCCAAAAAGGAAAGGAAAAAAAAAAACATCCATTTCCTGGCAACAAGGTGTGTGTGCGCAAAATAAGGCAAAAATATTGCTCTGAGAGGTCAGGAAGAATAACTCCTATACTACGAACATATCAGAAGTTGAACATTATATTATACATTTCATTTATAATTAAGTACAGGTCCACGTAAGAATCAGGCAGCCTATATATAAAAGGTGATACACGGGGGTTCTCAGAAATGAATGATTTTTTACTCACAGTTTTTTCTTGGGCTATAAGCCATGTATGTGGAAGGAAAAATATTTTGGGTCATTGTTACTATGGAAACATGGACAAAGAAATTTCCCTAGCAACCGGCCAATTTTTCTTTGTAGATTGACGAAATTTCACTCATTTTGAAGGCTTTATACAAAATGTAAATATAGTAATTTTTTTCTTATCCAGTGTAATAAGAAAGATATACTTTTAAAATGTTCTGTCAACGTAATAACAAGAAATTACATTCTCTAATATATTTGTTATAGACACAGGTAAAGATACACGTTTCCCATTTTTTGCTGATTCAGCATTTTGCTTGATTTTAGCAAAAATCAAGTCGATATTATTCATTTCACCATCTTAATACAATTGTTTCATCTATTTCATGTAAAACCACAGGAAAACCTCTCTAAGAATTTGAAATAAAAAGTTTTGCAAATTTGAAATTCCTATCTGTTGCTAAGCAACAAAAATGGATGGTATGATAAATTTAAAAAGGGGAAATTGTAAAGCATTGGAAGAAAAATCGGATAAATTGTAATCATTGAGTACCAAAAACAAATTTTAAAATAATAAAATATAAAATATTCTTCCTTGTATACTAAAGACTATTTTACAATAAGCTATCTCCATGGCAACTGCAAATTTTCCTTAGCAACGAAGCATTGAAAGTTACTTTTAGCACATATTCATCTAAGTTTTTAAAACATCAGATCTCAGATTTTTGATAAATCTTCTAATTCAAAAGTTACAGCCATTTGCCCTTCAATGTTACCAATTTATTTGCCTAATTTAACATTTCCCTCAATAATTCCAAAACTAAGCTAGATATCAAAAATCTGAGATACAGTTTTGTGAACACACATTTGAGAAGCAGCCCATCCAATTTTCAGAGAAATTTGTCAATAAATGAGGGAGCTGAATCCTTTGAAATAATACCACAAACTGTCTGATCTTACTTTACAGTAGAGGGCAAAAACCCATTACATAACAAAATCTGCCAAAGCTAGGAATATATGACACCTTGGAGATTCAGCTTTGGATACCTGTCACTTAGCCATATTTCCTATGCATATTCACAAGAATGGGAGGTTCTTTTCTGTATTTAGATGCTTTTAATTAAGTAAAATAGGTTCAATTCTGAATCAGAAAGATTTCCCGGCAAAATGGCAAGAGCTAAGCTCCACCTCCTATTTTATGGTCATCAGTAATCTGTTAGATCTCCTTCTCTAAATCTAGAGTCCCTGTAGTTTAATTACTGATAATCTCTGTGTGGCTAGTGAAGAATTCCCCAAGTGGTCACAGTGATTTATTGCGTCTTTCATGAGCAGGCAGTCACAGATCAAATCAGAAGCTTCAATAACGGAACATTCACATGTGGTAGTGTTTATGTTTCATTATTGTTAAATAATTAGAAAACCATTTCATAATTACCAATAATTTTACATGCATTATAAAGCAATGTTTA